TATAGATTCACATTAATATTTATTTTGTTTTTGTTTTGGCCCCCTTAAATAAATCTTAATTCCTGGCAACTGTCTGGACTAATCACTACAGTTTTTTTGGTAAGGTTTTTTGGAAGTACTGGTAGTTTGCCATCATCACTGAATTTGCCTGTTTGCTAGAGCTGACTAGAAAGTCATCCAAGGCCATCCTGCTGATTTTGTACCTAAGGTAGGTTTAGAAACAGTTATCCCAGTTTCTTATCCGATGCCTTAACTGCTATACCAAACTGGTACTCTCAATATGTAGACAGTGGCATTTCATCCTTACGCATTTCATCCAACTATTGCACAAATGCATCATGGCAATACATTGTTTCTGCCAGGTCTTTACATTGCTGTTTCATCTCCCTAACCCATTAGTAATTTATCTTAATATGTCTTCACAGTTGATATTTAAAGAAATATTTTCCCCCAGGTTCCATCAATATCCAGGGGAAACCTCCAGTGGCACACAATCTTATTGTTTCATTATCTACCTGTCGGGGGAAGGTAGGACAGTGATTGGGAACAGAAGCATTGGAGCAGCAGTCTGTAAAAGTGTGTGTGTGTGTGTATATATATACATATATATTTATATTTATTTATTTATTTATCCTTTTTCTGAGGTTTTCGCGGGTATTTGTATGTGGATCTTTGGTTATTCGGGTTATTCACCAGCTCAAATCCCCCAGCAACTAAGACTAACCTAAGCACAACCAAGCCCCCACCTGAACAGAACACACCCCCAGCCCATCAGAACACAGCCAAGCCCCCACCCAATCAAGTCACCCCCCCCACTAGCAGTTAAAAGGAAGAAGCAGCTGCAAGCTCACATTACTCTGAGAAGCAGAGCCGAAGACACAAGCCTGAAGATGATGAATGAGACTTCATTGAAACGTCGCCTAGATACTTCCAATTTTACACACGAGAAAACCCAAATAACCAAAGATCTATATATATATATAAATAATCTATATATATAAATAGATCTATGTATATATAAATTTATATATATATAAATCCTTTTACAGACTGCTACTCCAATGCTTCTATTCCCAATTTTGTGTGTGTGTGTGTGTGTGTGTGTGTGTGTGTGTGTGTGTGTGTGTCTACATCCCTTAGGAATGAGGGTGAACCAGGTGATTTTGATCCAGTCACTTGCTTGACCAAACCACCTTACAGGGTTGTTGTGGGAAATAGATGGCAGGAGTATGAAGTATTTTTTTTTATTTGATTTGTCAATAGCTTACAAGATAATAGATGTAAGAATGAGTATGAATACAGGAAATAGGTACGAATAAATGGGGAGAATAGAACAGGGAAGGTAGGCATGAGGAATGTGGTGCGGTCAATAGTAGATAGTTTAAGGTTAAAGGAGTGGGGGTTTGAGTTATGTTTTCTATGTGCAAACTCTAAAATTTCCATAAACATTGTTTTCTATGGTTTGGAAAGAAACGACGGTAATCAAAACAATTTTGTGTAGTGAAATGGCAAGAACCATGCATTATACTCTATAGTTCCGCGGAGGAGTAAAGAGCCACCAGAAAAATTCCTATCATTTAGACTCCGTTTCGCTAGCCAAGAGAAGCCGAGCGGTGTGCCAAATAATTGATGCGATTACTGGAAGAAAGCAAGGCGAAACCCCGCCTCTTTGAGAACAGCCAATAGCAACCGCAGCCTTAGCAGAATCTGGGCAGCGCTGGCGGAACCTTCCTTTTGTTACTGCATTGAGAATCCATAGAAAGAGAATGGAAGACCGAAGCAACTATTTAGAACTTTGAAATGAGCCCGAAGCGATCTGAGCATGTCTGGGGCTGTTTCCTGCTTCTTAATTAAAAAAATAAGGTACACCTCCTGAAACCTTTCTTGCATTTTTCTTCTTTTTCTCAGTTTGTCTGCAAAATGGTTTTAAAGTAGCGAAGTGCTATTTTGGTCTAATTAGCCATGCTTGAATCGTCACTGTAATACAATTTCCTTGATGGAGTATGGAAGTGAACGAAGGGGTTGGGTTTTTTTCAGCTTACGATCCTTTAAAGTTCTTTTCCGTTGCAAATATTCCTCCACTAAAACGCGTTCATTTTTTAAACATTACCTCTTGCTGGAGACTATTGCTATTTATTAGTGCTGGTATTCATTTCTTTAAATAGCTTTGATGCCGTTCGGGAAAGACCCCGGGCGAGCGTGAGGTATTCCGGAAAATTGTGTTTCTTAAAACCTGACCGTTCTACATTAAAAGAACGACTTTGCATGTGTTTGTGGTATAAAGCCCAAGAAATTATGGAAGGTAATTCATAATTAGATATGATTAGGAAGAGGTGGAGGGATTATTTCATTGAACTAAAATTTTGAGTTTGCACAAAGCGCAACCTTTTCTATATTTAAAATATGTGAGTCTCTTTGGACTTAAATTTAAACCCACCTACGATTCAGGCTAAGCATCTTTTCTTCTTAACTTTGGAAAAGGCAGCACAGTTAGGGTGAACCATTCTTGCACACAGAAGTCTTACCCCGCCGGCAGGCTGACAGGTTCTTTGATTTGATGTCAGTTGGTATCTGCCCGCCCGCCCGCATCAGATCGCCCCTTGCCACCTGCCCTAGAAACGCTGCTTACTGACATCATGGAAACATCCCGCCGCCCAGGAAAGCGCATGGAAACGCTATTCGCTCTAACGATTTCATTTGGTCAAAGCAACTGTCAATCAATGGAAACGATTCTTTGCCCCTTTTCTGAAGACCCCCTTGGAGCCGAAATGGGACGAGCTCAGAAGCTCCACCCTATTTCCACAGGTAGCGCTGCTTAAAATGAATATATTTCCGTTTGTCGTTCCCGTCCGCCCTGTTCTTTGCTTTTTAGCTTTGGCAGCTTACTCAGAGGAGGTGAAAAGCCTCTTGGGTGTTACTCTGTCCGCGCTAAAGATACAACAGCTTTGAGAAAGCTTATACTTGTCTAACCTATGTTTCAAGTTGCTGCCAGATCTCAGGTAAGAATAAATTTCAAGAAAGTGTTATTTCGGGTAGATTTTTTAAATAATACAGGGGGCAGGAAAAAAAAACTTTTAACAGATTGAATTTTGTATAACTTTAACATGTTTCTTTCCTGATCAGTTGCTTTTTTTTTTTGCTTCCCTCTATTCATTTTGTTTTGCAAAGGTAGTTTTATAAATAGTTTCGCTCATGCACAGATAATTTGGATATATAGATATAAACAAGACCAGAAACTAAAGTGGATTCCTTTAGATCAATAACAGGTTCCCTCTAAATGCAAAAAGTAGATTACATCCCTGATTTAATCAGGTTTTGAAGGTTTTTAGCTTTTTTCTTCTGAAAGGAAGATTGATGGTCTAAATGGTGAGATTAGAGCCAATAAACTGGTGCTTTTTCTTCTGATCTAACATGGCTTATTACATGTTTGGGGAAGTCATATTGCAGATTATGAAACTTCTGGGCAGGGGCTAATAGAAGCTGTAATATCTCTGGAAAACATTAAGCTGCTGTAGGAGAAAACTGCTTCAGTAAATTAATAGAGTGGTTAGGAATCCCTGCTGAAAATCACCCCACTTACCCTAATAGTCATGAAGACATTGATTGTCAACCAGGATAGCAGCTAATAAGACAGCTGTTTCAGGACTGATCTAACCATACGAGATCCATCCTTCAAGCAGTAATTTTAAGTTTTATAATATGTGAGGTTCATTTTTAAACTAAATACATTATCTTTTTCCAGAAAAAATATGCTTATTTCTTGGAAATAAACCCCATTTAATATCTCAAATACAATGATGTATTCCCAAAATATATCACTGAAAGGCATTTGTGTTTATCTCAGTGGTTTCTCATTTCTTGCCTGCAAAAAGGCTAAACAAAATTGTATACAGGTCATGAATGACCCACACTGACAAAGCCACTTATGAACTGTGTATGTATCAAGAATCTATGAAATGGCTCATATGCACTAAAAGCTATCTGTCTTTTTATCTGTCAAAGAATGCTATGAAGTCAGTATTTATGGTTTCTTGTTTTACAACTGATCTATTAAACATAGAAACTTATTTATGTTTAGGTTCCTCATTTTCTTAGGCCGGTTTGCACAAAACTGTTACATTACAACAAAATGTACCTAAAATGGAAAGGAGAACTTTTTCTTTACAAAGACTTTTATGATTAGGAAGATTGTGGGAAATATTTGATAACAGAAGACTTGGAAATTTGTTGAAATTTCAGGAGGTCTAAGTCAGAGCATTTCTGAAAAGCGAGTTTTAAAGCATCCAACCAACTGATCTATGTATCTAACTTCATAGAAGCAATTTTTATTGAAATTTGCTCTAATGCAAATAGTGGGCTGGGGTAAGGAGAATATTTTTCATGTTGGCCCTTATACTGAGAAATTTGTATACTTCTGCAAATATATGTATGTGTTGTTTCCCTGGTTGCTTATAATACTAGCTTTTACCTAGAATTGAAACTCACAAGTTTCAGTAAATATGAGCAGTGATTTTGCATTTGCATTCTTTCAACAGATTTAGATTTTGAACATTATCTGTGCAATCGGGGGTGGGATTCAACCGGCATTACTACAGGTTCCCTAATTTTACATTTTACCAGACACGCGCTGTCTGCACGTGTAATACACCATAAGCTGTGCTGCCTGGACAGCTGATAAGCGTTGCGCATGAGTGCGCTGCGTTTGAAAAAGCACTTTTTTTACTGCTTTTTCAACCTCAGCTGTGCCGCGCAAAGCAGCTGAGGTTGAAAAAGCAGGAAATAAAGGTCAGGTAAGAGCCTGGGTGGGCGGGCCAAACAGCAGCAGACACAGAACCGATTCTGTGTCTGCTGCTCTTCAGAGCTACTGGTTCTATAGAGCCAGGAAGAACCAGTAGCATCCCAACCCTGTGTGCAATTCATAGTCAGATTATTAAGAAGAACAGTTTCTGACATGATCTTGTTTATCTGCTACTTCATATAGATTTGCAGTCCTTTTGAATGCTTCCAGAAGATTGTAACATAAATATTTCTCTCTATTGAAATGCATCTGATATTAGATTAGTTGCTTTATTAATCTCATGTTTCTAAGAATTAATCTTATATTGCCGGATATGTTGGCAGGGGGTATGCTTGTGGAAAGGTGAATTTCCTGGGAAGAATTCAGCAGGGAACAACTTCTGATTTTGGCCTCTGACTGTGTACCATGGAAATAACAATGGGCAGCCAGCTGGTTATTGACTCGTAACTTCAGAAGCTTTGAGAATAATTGTATTTTTCCTGCTTGCAGAAAGTGCTGGTGGATTAGATACTTTGGGGATTTGATGCATTATTTCCTTCTCCTTGTGGGATACTATATTATGAAGGAGGATTAAGAGGTAATTAAATTCAGTTATTTGGATATTGTTCACAAAACGGTATAGAATAATTTCCTAGTCATTTTTAAATTCTGGCACCCCTGCTTGAAATGTTTCAAGCTGACTGGTATTGGGTGCCTGCTTTGCACAATACAGTTCAGAAATTGCGGTAGTGTTAAATACTGTATAACTATGACAATCACCACAATAGAAATGGGGGAAAAAGGAACAAGGAATGCTAAAACTTTTGCTTTGAATTGTTAAAAGAGCCCAGCATTTTCAGGTAGGGCTATGGGGAAATCAAATGTGCCAAAACTTTGAAAAGTTTCTGCTAATTCTTATAGGGAAGTAGAACAATCAACCCAGTGTGCAGCAGTTTCCAGTTTTCATATACGCTTGGATCAAATGACAAATACCAGGCAACAAAATTTACTTGTTTCTGGATTACAGCATATGTTTCAGATTATTGCAATATTGTATTATGTGTTTTTCTTGAGTATGAAAATTGTAGGAGGAAATTCTTACCTTTTAACTTCCATTGATAGCTGCAGATTTCCAAAACAATTATTCTAATTGCTCTGTTTCAGAATTTTATAAATTGGGTGTTTACTGCCAAAGAGATGAATAAATGAAGTATAAAACCTGTGGTGATCTTGAGTTTATTTCTAGTTGTGCTTCAAGTAATTTAATTACCACATTATCCAACTTAATTTCTCCCTATAAGTTGCTCAAGAGCTCCAAGGCCTCATTTATTTTGACCAAAATTCGATGTGACAACCCCCCCCCAAATATATTTATACCTTAAGTTGTAGAGGGGAGGGTGGTAAATCTAAACATTGTGCAGTTCATGTGGCCTGCATTTTTAGACTCATCATTTTTGTGATTCTTGCCCATCAAACCTTTAAGAAGATTTGTGGGTGTCCTGTAATTTCCTCTAAAACCCATTCTTCCTCAACCTGCTGCCTTTCAGATTGCAGCAAGCTAATGAATGCCCATCTCTTCTGACAGTCTTTATAGTCCTCAGAAATAGACTACAGTGTTTTGCAAAACTAGCATGATTGAATTGTAGAAATTAATGCACATCTGGCCCACCAATATTCTTGTATTGAAAACAGGGAATTTGCTTTAGTATCAAAACATATCACAAACATTTCCCCTCCTTCCTGTCATAAAAGTAAAACAGAATTTGCTTCCATTTCTTGACTATGAGAATTTGCTTCCATTTCTTGACTATGCCTGAGGAATGTAGTGTCTATTCCTCTTCCTATTGGTATGGCTGGTATTGTAGAATACATGCACAACAGTATTGTTTGTCTAGTTTGTACTTGTTATACTTTTGCGTCTGAACTTTAATGATTATCTTCTGCTTTCACAATGCCAGATTAGGTTTCATAGGTATGTATAGCATTATTGCCTGTGTTGTAAGGGAGAAATTGCTCAATGAAGATATTGCTCTGAGAATAAAATAATCTTAAGGAAGGGCAAGAAAAACAGTTGCAATTGTGGTAAACCCACATATTAACTGCTTGCACAGGAAATATAGATAGTGCCTGAAATGAAACTGATTATTTAAAAAGCCTGCTTTATGTGTTCTGTTTAACAGACTGACAAAACACTTTCAAATTATAGTACTATTTGTAAGAGGGGATTTGTCTGTTTTTTTAAAAATAGTATCTTAGTAAAGCTGTGAGCCTGCATGTCAAAACATAAAATGTATGCATCACTAATGTGTACTTTGCCCGACTTAGATGAAATTGTTACAGTATTCCAATCATGTAATTTTTTTTTCAATAACTTAACATCCCATGGTGTGGAGAGGGAGAGGATCATACATATTGATAGTTTTTTCTGTCAACCTAAAAGCAAATTTCATAACATGTAACAAACCTTCCTTGATCCTATGCCCTGCAGAAATGTGATTGTTGGGGTTATGTTGCAGTGCAATAGCTCTGCAAAGCTGTGATGTGGAAGAAGATTTTATGAACTGTCATCATACTGAATGACAGTTTGTTATATAGTCATCCTGCCTTCAAATTCCAATTGTATGGAGAATTGAGGCAATGTTACTTTTAGTATTTGTAATCCATCCTTCCTCATGGGAATCAATCATCACAACAGTATCCATAACAAATCTCAGTGACACCAAAATAACAACCTGTGCATTGTGACATCATTGAAACCAGCTTAGTTCTTGCATTACAACATCTGATACAAGTATATAAGTTGTTCATTTTCAGTTTGCCAATTTATATTAATGTATTTTTCACACTATCTACCTTTTAAAGTATGGCACAATGTTCAGTTGAAGTAACAACAAAGGTGATTAGTATGATTAACTAACGCAATATAGCTGTTGTACACGGCACTCATATTTCTGTGAAATAAACATACTTCCAAAGCCCTCTTGAAGATAAAAATGTTATATGTGTCTCTGAAGTTCAGGTATTCCAAAGGGTGAGGGCTGCTTTTAAGAAAGTGCCAAGAAGCCCCAATTTCTTACTCCTCTGTATTGAAGCCCTCAATATAATGAACACCTGAATTGGATTTGTAAACAGCCAGTGATTCATGCAGCCTTGGCCCCTTGTGAATGTTGTGTCATAAAAGTAGTTCTATTTAATTAGCAAATTTGTGAATTGCATTAAATAAAAGGGAGAATAGACATGGAATACAATCAATGTATGCCAGGGTAAGATATGCTTGATTATAACATAATTTGTTGCCATTTATGAATTATTCATTAAACCACTAAAAGTGAATGGTGAATCTACTTATATATAACAAATAGTGAATTTTATTAGTGAACTTACTTTAAAATGACATCTCATCCAAATCAAAACAACAGCCAGTCCAATATAATGTTCATCATTACATCATTTTATCATGTTAAAAACACAAAAGAAAGATGTATAGATCTTTTTGTGTAGTTGGAAAGAATTGGCTGGAATTGTCTTATCCAGCTTTATTTTTTCAATGTTTAATTTGCAAATGACTGTAGTTTTTCAGGTGCCCTTCAGCTACGTCCTTGGCTGTGCCAGAGTCACTTTCCCATAATGCATTCCCATATGTTTACCTGAATGGGAATGCATTAAAAGTAAGTGGCTCCCATGTGTCTGAAGACAGCCTCTTTATAATGTACAGATTTGAACATTTAAGTTATTATTTTGCTGTCCGTTAAGATTCTTGTGTGTTTAGTTTTGATATTTCTATTTAGTTTTCCAAGCAAATTCCTGGTTTGGAAAAACTTTTAATCATGGCAATGGCAGTAATTTAGTTGATGTAGGGACATAACACTCAGTATATAATTTATGGTGTCCTGCTTCACTTCTGGTTATATTTTTAAAAGTCATTAACAGCCAGTATATAATTTATGATGTTCTTCTTAATTTCTGGCTGTATCTTTTTAAAATCAACTATAAACCAACAAATGAATGGAAGCTCAATTAGAGCAGAAATGTTATAGGTCATAAATATGCTTTATCTTGAAATGACACATACCTAAAAAGTCATTTGTACTACTTGACTCAAGTGCAGTTCCTGTGTTTTTAATTAGGCTGATCTGGAGTAAATGGATTGTGGATTACAGCCCAGATTTAATTAAGCCAACCCTATTTCATAGTCAGGTGGAACAAAGCGGTGAGTTTCTGGTCTACTTGACACTGAAAAGTAGTATAAGTTCTTTTATGGGAATTTCAATATGTACTAATAACCTGAAGCCACTTTGTTAATAGTGGATGCATCTCTTGGATTGTATGGAATGGTGTAGGGAAACAAACAACTAAATTTGTAGTTTTGGAACAAAGTACTGAAAATGAAGATAGGGCTGCAGGTTTATCATTGTAATCTGAAGCATGTCTAAAAAACTACATGATCCTAAAGAGGTTATGGTGTTTTAAATGCAGGGAACTACTAGAAAATCTGTTGTTGGAACTTTTATCTTCGTTTCTCCATTTTTCATCACTTCTTTTTGAGAATTGTTGCTTTGCTAAGGAAATGAAGAAAATTGTCCAACATGTGCTGTTAGATTTTAGCTGTGTTGGTTCTTCTTTGCAGTCTATAAGACATCTTACTTTAATAAACAGTTTCTAAGAAAATGGCATTTTGCTGTTATTATTAACATGCCTCTCTAGTTTCTGATATTACAATATTCTATTGATCCTACTTGTGGTTTGATGCAAATCATTGTTAATAAAACAATATACTTTCCCCCTTCTTTTATCTTCAGGAGAACTAATGATGGTGTTGCCTGAGTACATTTACTCAGATTGCATTCCTGATCCAATACCAGACATCTTTTATTCAACAATTGTCTTGGTAATAGCAATTCCTCCTGTTGCTCAAGACCATTCCCTCTTCCCTCTATAAATATAGATGTTAAGGTTCTGGATGGGACTTTTATTGATGAAACATATGAAATGCATAGCCAATTTTTTTAAACTTCTGCTGTTTTGTAAATCTCTCATATCATGAAATACAGTAGTGCTAATTTCAGCCTCATTTTTAGTGTTGGGCACTAAAAAATTAAAATAATTTTTCAGAATTTTAAACATTGAGATTGGGGCAACTCTTTATTCAGCTCTTGTTTTGGGTATAATCTATATGATCTTTATAAAAGATAATATGAAGCAACATCTCCATTCTCCACAACTTGCCATGTAATTATGACTTAACTATGATTTAATAAGGAAAATCAACTTTCAAGCATAGTTTATAAAGATAAATTAGCTTTGCTAACTATAAAATTATAGTTAAATACAATTCATAATTCAGATTACATATAAGTACAATAATTCTAAAAATTAGTTGAAAAGTGATAGCTTTTGATAACTCATGTTACTTGAAGACAGTTTGGTCGATCCTTCCTTCCTTCCTTCCTTCCTTCCTTCCTTCCTTCCTTCCTTTCTTCCTTCCACTAAACTTGAAAAGAAAAATGGGGACAGAAGTATGGAATCATGATGTTTGTTTAGCATATTATTTCTCATACATTTAACTATAATTTAGGATTATATCAGAATATAGTCTAA